TTCTCTCACATAACTCCTCAACGCTGCCCCATTCTCGTCGGCGTCGATTCTCGGGTCACGGCGGTCAATGGCGGCGGAGATGACCGGATGTGGAGAAGATGACTAGGGAGTTGCAGTTTTTTGGACTTGAGTTTGTGAATTAAATAATTAGTAAGGACTTGATTACAAATTTATAAATTTTAATATATTATAATTTAATTCATTGGCCAAAATTGCAATTAGTCAAACTAAAATTACATCGACGCTCCTCATGACAACAACATACAGATCGATCGCTGCAACTTCTTCATATTCTCCGGCGGCTGATGACTGACATAAGGTCGTGGCTTGATTGAGACACCGGCTAAGACTATCCTTATTGGTGACCCATAGGTTTGGTCACCAGAAAAAAGACAAACAAAATAAAAAAAATAATAAAAAAAAAAAGAAAAAATAATAAAATTTTGGCGACCCAGGTCACATTGTGACATTGGGTTACGCCTCTTTTACTTTTTTTTTCAATTTTTGGATAAAGGGAGAAAGAGAATTGAGACACTTGTCTCATTCTCATTGGACACTATTAGTTTTATATAATTAGATAAGTATAACTCAAATTATTGATATTATTTTATATTAAAAGATAAAATAAAAAATTTCAAAATTTATATTTTTTCATTCTCTACAAATAGAGACCACTATTGATAAGTTTTTTAACACAATCGAAATTATTATATTAGGTTTGTTTGTAGATAAAATAATACCAAAAAATATATTGTAAATAATATTTAATAAATAAATAAATAAAAATAAAATAAATATTATGTTGAATTGAGTTGAGTTGGGTTGGGAATAAAGATAGGTAGGTTGTTATAAGTTGGGTTGTATAGGTGGAAGAAAGAGAAATAATATTTTATTATTTGGTTGAGTTGAGTTGAGTTGTGGATAAATATAGTCTAAACCGTTGTCATCGGAGAGCGAGAAAAAGAGAGAGCTCGGAGAGAGAGACATAGATGGCAGTAGTCGGAGAGAGAGAGATGGCAGGTCGTGTACAGAGAGATATGAAAGATAATGAGTGGGATTGGGATTGTGGTGGAGCTACTGCCAAGGTATGTGCTGTCATTTAGGTTAAATTACGACTATGCCCTTTACATACAAAATTTACCTTAATATTATAATGGAATTACAATTATGCCACCAAATTAGTTTCTGCGTGGTCAACATCTATTACTCCATCTTAACCGTTAATCTGGCTGATCTGATGGTGTATGTTTATTCTCGTTTCTTTCACTAACTCTCTTTCTCATATGATCCACTCTCTCTCTCTCTCTCTCTCTCTCTCTCTCTCTCTCTATATATATATAT